GCTGCTGCCTACAAATTGTATTTTTGAAAATACGTACAATTCAACAAGCTATTAATTCTTTGAAACCACTGGTTTTTACCCAGCTTTATTATACAAGAAAACTCTTTAAGATTATAGTATATTTAAAAACCGTTTAGGTTTCTAAGATCTAACTTAGAGAATGTAGCAATTACAAGAAAGGAAGATATACAACATTGACAATGCTACAACCAAAGACATTATAATAATATAATAATCTTTGGTTCCAGCTTTCTTAAAACGTTATATTGGGCTGACAAAATATCGTTATAAGTCACTTTTAAGACATTAGATGTTTACTAGTGATTTGGAAACGATTGGCTTGGAAATCGTCCTTGAGCTGAGCTTGAGCGTTATTTATGAATATTTTAACTGAGAATGAAAAGTGAGAATTCTTTTAAACTTCAATATTTTGAAGTAGTCTTAAAAATGGATTTATGATACTTTGGAACAATAAAGTGGAGCAGAAGACTAGTATTTATATAAAATCGTCATCGAAGTGGACAAGTTTTCGTAATGTTCATATCTCTAAAACACATTCCATATTCCGGAGGTGTTTAAACAAATCTTGTTGTTTTTAATACATTTTTTTTATCATTCTTTTAAAAAAAACATTTTACTCAATAATACCATTCTCTAGTGTTTTATATCATATTTTTAGAACTAATTGTTATTTTTAATAATTGTAAATATTTACATAACTAATCGATAAGTCGAGATAGCACACAACAGTTAAAGAAAAATGATACCCAGAAAAAACAATTGAAAAAGAGACTTTTGGCAACCATCCTCTACTGAAAAAGGATGTGCGGTGAGCTCTCGTCGCTATGAACCCTTTCTGAAGAGCTGTCTAAATTTTGCCAATTTTAAACTCCCTTTTCGGATATTATATATCCCAACGCTTACAATTACCTTTTCTATTATTCATAAAGCAATTCTATGTCCTCTAAAAACCTTTGAGATTTATTTAGTCGAATCAATCTTAACATTGTGGGGTGTCTTAATATTCCCAAAAAGGCAAAGTGCAGGAGGGCAGCAGCTAGGAACAACGATGGAGGCTGCAACGTTCGAGGAATCGAGGATAGCCAGGTCAAACGGGAAATAATGAACCTATATGGGGTCTAGGTTCCGCAAAGCGGAGAGACCGTGATTTAACGGTACCGAGCTGGATATTGAACTCTTGTCTGTCAATGGCGAAAGGTTAAACGGTAAATGAACGAGCACAAAGAGGGCGCAACGTGAATTAAGGAGACGAGATGAGAAGAAGTGGAAACGGGATCGTCGCGGCTTATATAGGGACGGCGCAGCTCGGGACAGGTCAGTCTAAGTACGTGCACGAGGATAGTCGACGCGGGTCGAACATGGGTCGCGTGCGTGCGGCCAGACAGTCGGAAGGGAGTCCGAAGGCGTACATGAAGAGGACCAAAAAAAAATATAGTTGAATCAGAAGTGCAAACTAGAACCAGCGGATTAAGATCACAGAGCCGAGACGCTGAACGACAAATAAAATTATAAGTTGAGATCCATGCTACAGGACTACAGGATACAGGAATTTAAAGATTATTATTACTTGTTGTTTACGAGTTCCGCAATAATTGCGCAGATTTCTGGAATTTGATACCGGTCCGATACTTCTTCTCCGTATGCGCGGACTTTTCCAGGACCACCCAGACTAGTGCGTTACACTGTGATCTTGATTGTCTGATAATACCGCCTTTAAGCATTTCTATCATATCTTAAGCTGCCTATAAGTTGCCTATGTGTTGGTAAGCAGCTTGATCAAATTCGACTAGTGTTACTACCCTGATTAAGCATTGGGCTTTTATGACTTCAATCTCTGGGTTTTTAATGATACCTGGTAAAATATCTAACTCACTATCTAATAAGATTATGTACTAGCTCCTTCTTGATTGGTTGGTCCGCGTACTATTGGGGTTAAGAATTTCCTTTGCAAAACTCCCTAGTTTTGTTTCTAGAATAATTATGCCCGTTACTTGTAGAGATTCGTTATAATGTATATAACAGGTAGGAGGAAGCGTTTCCGACCATATGAAGTATCTATATTCTTGATCAGGATCAATAGCCGAGTCGA